CTCTCTCGCTCTATTCAAAGCCGTTTTCTTCTTTAATCATATACACCTTACTTTTAAAAAGAGACATTTGTCTTTCAACACATTTAGACTCCCTGTTTCTGTTTTGGACTGGGTTTTCTTCAGCCTTGCCAACGCGGTAAGCAGGAGCTAAACTGTTCCGCGCAGCAACACGCTCCAAATATTAATCATGGCCGTTTAAAAGCAGCTTCTTTAAATTAAAAAATAAAAAAAAAACAAGCGTCTGCGCCCGAATCGAGTTGAGACCAATTAATGTGTGCGTCTACAGAGAGTCTTGAGCTCAGCATGAAAGTTTGTGCTGCGTTTAGAGTCACGGCTAAAATAAATGTACCTGGTTGAAACGAGACTTTCCGTACTGGAACGGTGGGTAGTCAGACATGCTGCCGGACAACACAACTCTCCTCCTTATTGCTCAAGTTTAGCAACTTCTTCTTTTTTGTTTTTTTCTCTCCCCGACCACTTTTGCCGTCTTGCGCTGCACTGCAAAAACACTCAGCTGTCTTCCCACGTTGCATTGTGGGCAATGTAGTAATGCCAAGCTGGCGCACGCATGTAGGCCGTGAAATGCTTTCTATATGTGACTACATTTCCCAGGAAGCTGTGCTTTGTTTTATAGTTTTGCAAAAAAAAGTTTATAGCAAGACAGTGACCTTGAACATTGTGAAAGATGGTCTTTACTATCAGTAATTCAAACATTTTATCACGTAAAGTACTTTGAACTGCTTTATGTGCTATGCAAATAAACTTGACATATTTAAGAGGCAACAAAATATTTGCCCATTGTTCAGAATTTAATTTGAATCTAAAATAGGGCTGAAACAATCAATCATTTTAATTGTGATGAATCGATTTTTGAAAAAAAAAAGTCTACTAATTTAGTAACAATTAATCGTTAACTACAGTATACAGATTCAAAAAAGGGATATTTTCTGAAAATAAAACACATTCAGAGCAGTAATTAAGCCAAAACTGTACAAAATAAATATACACTTTGGACTAAAGATAAAAAAAAAACTCCTCAAGTAGCACAGTTTTATCTTCACCTAGAACAAAGGAATGACATGTTATTGCATTTTAGGCAATAAAATGTTTATTTTTCTTGTTTCAAAATGGAGTTGAATTGTTTATCTGCATCTTTTAGTGTATTTTCAATATTGTATAAAAATGTCTTAAATGGTTAAATGAGAAATCTGTATCATTTTACTTGATTAAGTGATTAATCGTCAGAATAATCAACGGGATAATTGATTTGTGAAATGACAGTTAGTTGCAGCCCTAATATAAATGTGTACAAACATAATTATGCAATATTTATATAAATAATACATCTGGTCCCTTTTTTCCCACATATAGACATGTACAAAAGAATAACTATTTTGTACATATCCTGTACATTTTTACTTTTAAAATGTTCTCTTTTTTTCTGTAGGCACTTTGTCAATATTCATTTGTTCATATTGTTTTTAGATATTTTATATTAACCTGAGTATGTTTTATCACTGTGTTGCTGAAACAAATGACTTTACGCACTGGGAAATGATTGCAAAAGTCCAATCCATCTACCAACAAAAGATAAAATACTAGTTACCTCTTTAACATCTCTGTCACTTTGATTAAAAAACAAACTTTTGATGAACTGGAATGACAGGCAGGACTCTGGTCTGATTTTAAAGAGGAAATGTAGCCCTCTGGTGGAGATTTAGCCTGTTTTGAGCTCATGAGAAAATATAATGGCATCTGTCTTGAATGTGGCCTTTTAATGTGACAGGAAAAAATCCTTCTTGGGTTGATTATAACTGTAACCTGGACTCATAAATGTGCACAGCCTTTAATTCTTTCTGAATGCATCTTCTGATTCAAAACCATAAATCCATCTTCTCTAGGAAATTATCTAATATTCAATCAATACTTTGAAAATAAACTCCTAATCTGAGAACATCTTTTATCTGTATCTCATAGTCGCAAGTCTTCAATTGTACTCCAAAAGCTTTTAAAAACAAAAACCCAGAAAATGTTTATATTCTGGCTGATTTTAAAGTTTGATTACAAATGCAAGTCTCAGAAGTTTTTTCCAAGGAGTAACTACATTGAGTAATATTCTTTGAGATCATTTTTATTTTATTTACATTGGGAAATGTGTGTTTTTTTTTTTATTATCATTTTTCAAAGGGGAAAAAAATATCCAAGTCTTTTTGGGCAAAAGGTTTATGTTTTCCTTCAATTTAAAATCCAAAAACTGAAGTAATGTGATGCTTTATAAAAGAAATATATATATATATATATATATATATATATATATATATATATAATGTATTAGACAGTAGATATCAGCTAAAGGACATAAATCAGCGAATGTCAGGAACTAATTAAACTGAATAGAAACATTATATAAACTTATGCAATATAGTTAATGCTCCATTATTTACATCATCGATTTTCCATGTAACACAAGAGTGTCCACAATGTGGCCCAGGGCTCATTTGAGGCCGACTGAGTCACAGTGGACACTTTGGAAAAAGAAAAAGGTTTTTCTCTTTTATTGACCATGATTTTGGTTACATTTTAACTTCGCAGTAAATAGACTCATCCCTCCTCTACATTCATTAAACTTGGCCAAATACAGCAAGAGGAGAGCCACATCCTGTTCTTGTTCAGTCTAAAGAATGTTTCTAGTCCAAAAATGAAAACAACTGACCAGGGAATTGTTTGCCTTTCTTTTGATAATATAATCACAAGACACTTTTGTATGTTTTGGATCAACAACAATTTACAGGTTTTCTTTCTACTACGATTGACGTAGATTTAAAGTCTTTCATTTCTAGTATATGACCAAACAGATACATGTGACAAGAAACACGTTTTTCCATTTTTATTTCCTGAAAACAAGGTTGTAATTAGTGGCCAGCCTATAAATTGGCCTCGTTTTCATCATGCCAGCGTTTTTTAAAGATCGGTGATCGGCCCAAAAACGGCAATTGGTGCAGCCGAGTTTTACATTTTTCTAAATTTGACCACTTTGGCTCTCGTGGCAAAAAAAAAAAAAAAGGATACCTAATACATCTGAATAATACACGTCACATTCAGAGTGACATTGACACCAGTGGTTCCAAACTGGTGAGGAGTGGAGCAGGAACGATCCCGACTCCATCGACACCAAAAGGAAATGACCACAAAAGACACGGTGAGCAGGAAACACAAAATACTCTTTATTAAATATACAAAATTTGTGAAACAGAATTGCATCACGGATTGTAAACGTTCCAGTCTTACACTGAGCACATTCTGCCAGCTTCACACCCGAGGACAAAACACAGTCGATTCAAAAGGTAAATAAAAACCTCGCCAAATGGAAGACATGAAAGAGAATGCTTATTCCCGCTCTCTGCGAGCGCCAAATCACCTCTTCTATGTTTCTATAGTCATCTGCACTCTTCATATTGCGACCGCCCAGCTGAACGGATGTGACGACATACGTGTATTTTTTTTTTCTTTTTTTAAATGTTTGATGCTTTGAGCTAGATGGCGAATCATCGTCAAGGTGTGAAAGGAAGATCTAGTGCTTAACCACAGAGCGATTAGAAAAGTGCAATACGGCGTGAAGTCGATCTAACTATACCGATATCACAAAGACGGGTACAGCAGAGTTATTCTTCTGAAGATTAAGTAGTGCAAGAACATCCACGAATGCTGTTTGAGGTGGCATCATATCAGAATACTTTATGGTGTATCAATCAGCTCTAAATGTTAAGTTTCAAGGCTGTGTGTTAATGATTTTGTTTCCTTATGTTTTTTTGTTGTCGTTTTTGGCATGTCACAGTAAATCGCTGCTAATACTCATTTTTTATTTGTATGCATACAGTTGATTCTTGTGCTAAACGATATCACAAAGCGCAATAATTAGAGATTCGATAACTTTCTTTCAGCAAACGGATGGCTTTGAGTCCGCCCGAACGCAAAATACAATTAAGTGCTAGCCTAATGAACATCGAAGGAAAACAAACTCAAAAAACAAAAGTAAGGCAGCGTTTGGCAATTTAATACGCATACACGCTGAAAAATGCGGTCCCTTTGTGGCAACTCATGTGTCAGCAACACACGCATGTGAGGAAGCAAGACGGAAGATACCGATACTGTCGCCATCTGAATCGGTTAGCTTATAACGCTGAGCATCGGAGGGGAAGGGAGCTAGCTAGCTAAAAACAAACAGCACTTATCCTGTGTTCGAAACATGAAACCTATATTCATTCACCTGTTGGCTTTATTAAGAACACTTGAACATTCAGGTCCGTTCTCAGTGATGTGAAAGGGTCAAATGCTAACCCCGTCTCATTTGGTTTGCACATTTTAAAGAAGAAAAAAAAACAACGAGTATTAGCATTTGCTGCTAACAGGCAACATTTCGCAGCATCTGGAAAAAAAAAGAGGGAGTCAAACGAAAGAAGCAATTTTTCTTACACTGACAAACTTATTTAGCATGAATTCTGAAAATACACTCAGACATACAGAACTTTATCATATTTTTGTCACATTTCAACACCAAACTTCGCTGCATTTCTCTGGGATTTAACAGACAGGAAGGAATCCTCGACGAGGAGTGGAAAGGAAAATTATGCATGGTTCTTAAAATTGTATCCCAATTTTTTTTTAAATCTACAATGTGTGGCACACATTTACTTCAGCCCCTCAGAACTCAGTTACCTGTAAATAAAATCCAGTGCTATCGACATTAAGCTAACTGAACCAAAAACAAGAAAGCTGATCAAGGTCAAGCTAAATAAACTACAATCCTGCAATACAAATGCATGCCACACTTTTTATGCATATTAAAACATAAACCATGTTTCATTTTCCTCTCCCCTCACACTTGTGAACTATTTTGCGTTGTTCTCTCATACAACACAACAAAGTTTGCATTTGCAACGTGACAAACAGAAAAAGTTCAAGGCTTATGAATGTATCTGTAAAGCTCTGTATTTGGCTGATTTCTCTTCCTTTCCTTCCATTCTTGCCTGTAGTTGACATATTTGTCGGTCAAGCCTTGACTTGCAGGGTGACTGTGACTTCCCCGCCGTGCTGCGTTATCCCTCAGTTACAATTTGCTGCTGTGCGAGTGCAGTGAAGGCGGGGGGATTCTCTTCAAGTGCATTCCAACCATCTTATAGAAAGGTTGGATAAACAGTCAATTTATGAAAATAAAACCCAAAACCTGCTGATGCCTCATGTCAGAAATCCTCTCTCCTGTTCTCTTCCGCATGACAAACACAACACCTTCCAGTTTTAAGCGTCAAAACGTCGTAAGAAATGTGCAAGCACTTTCTAGGCACACGAGGAAACAGACATCTTCCACCCTTAAGATGAGGAGATCAGTCTGAAAGCCATGAAAATGCCCCCGCGCTGATCTGACAGTTTGTTTGTAACTGGACAAAAGAAAAAAAAAATAAATAAATAAACACTTTAAATTCCCATTTTAGGAACATTTTGTGACAACAGAGGCGCTAAGCGCGGTGAAGAAAGAGGATTCGCATCAGGATGCCAGACTGGCAGCGCCTGGGTTTGGAACCCTCCACCAGGCTCTGGGAGCCTGACGACAACCTGAGGACGCGCTACATTCAGAACCACTGGAGACAAACCCGCCACCGCCACTGCCGAGGAAACAGAACGGAGAGGGGGCCGAGGGGGAAGCATGCCAGCTAGAAAACATCACCTCGACACCTCTGGGTGCCTAAATATCTGTATCAAAAAGGACAGCGTAGCAGTGACTAAAACAGAGAGCTGTTGTGGAGGTTTTCGAGTGAACACGTGAACTAGAAGGTCAGTTATTTTTTTATTTTTTTTTTTTTTTTTTTTGTCTGTTTTCATTTGAACTTGGGGCGCACTTGTAGCAGCGTTGGCTTCTGCTCCATGATTCGCACTAGGAGAGTGTCGATGTAGTCCTCCAGGTCTCGGACCTGAGGCTTCAGCTTCTTCAGTTCCACCTCCCGCTTGGCCAGCAACAGTTTCTGACGCTCGAACTCGGCCCTCTGCCCCTCCAGCTCGGCCTCGCGCTGCACCAGCAGGGCCACCAGCTCGCTGTGGGTCAGGTGGTAGTATGAGCCCGCTCCTTCCGTCAGAGACTGAGGACAGACAGACACAGAGCGAGGCCGGTTTTTAAACTGACCTAAAAATTAATAACTGAGGCACAAAAAAAGGAGCTCAGGTTCAGAAGAATAGTTCAGAATTAAATTGGAAAAGAAAAGAGAACCAAGTACTATTTGTATTCCATTTTATGTACATGAGCTACTTTGCGTTGGGCTATCATATAAAATAAATTAAAGTCTGCAGTTTAAACGGACAAATTGTGAAGGGATGTGGACAACAGAGATGCACCGATAACTTGGCAGACCAAGAAGTTGACCTGATTTTGGGAGTTCGGCTGATATGGGAAAATAAAATGTTAGCATTTAAATGTGACAAAAGGTGAAGGGTTATGAACAGTAGGGCTGAGCCGATAAATTGGACAGCCAAGAAATCAACCCGATTTCCTTAGTTTTGGGAGACTGGCTGATCAGTTACATGAGAAACTGATCTGATCCACCCATTTTATCTACCTCTACTAAGTTCATTAAAATTAGCCACTTTTGCTCTGACAGAGGGCTGACTGACAGATCCACCCACCAGGTATAGTCAGGACAATAGTCACCCCACTGTTGCCAACTTAGCGACTTTGTCCCAATATTTAGCAACATTTCACACAACAAGAAAAATCGGTATCGACCAAAATCAGAACTGGTAGGCCAGGCATTTGAAGAACTGCAATCAGTGCACCTCTAGTAAATACTTTGTCAAGGTTTGTATTGATTGTTGCAGCAGCAGTAAATGAAAAGAAATCCAAATTTGCAAGGCCATCAACCACATTGGATAATGGCCACTTACTGTATTCATTCATTTTTTCCTACCTTCTTCCTGTCTGCCTCCTGCTCGATCTGGCTGCTCCTCCCCGGATGGATGGTGGACTTGAGCTTCTCCAGGCCGGTGGCCAGCACTGACCGCTTCTCCTCAGCCAGCATGGCAGTGGTCAGGGGCTTCACTGGGTGGGGGCTTCAACAACAACAACAAAAAAAAAAACCCAAACACACAGTGAGCCATTCACATTGTTCCAACACCGACCCGACTCCCAACCTGCAGCCTGATGAGCTGCCCAGCTACAACTCTGGTGGTCATAGTGGAGGTCTTATATTTATAACAACAGGTGAAAGAAAAGAAACCTTAATCTTAGCTTTTATTGTGAAATGTACGTAACTTCCTTTGGAACAATATCTTCCTCTGGAAACAATGGCCGTGTTTGGAAACTGTGGCTTCCTTTCTGAGCACAAACAAACACATACCGGCTCTCCAATATCGTAGTATGAAGAAACATATGAGACAATGTCTTCATAAAAGCACAGGAAGACAGTTTCCTGTGTCAATGACCTACATGCAGCAAACCATCACTATTTGACGGCCTTTAGTGCAATCGATGCAAGATTAATCCTTATTAAAGCCCAGTTTAATTCTTTTTTTTTGCCCTCCAATATGACACCAGACATTAAGGAATCCAAACCAACATTATACTTCATTCTGATTAAGATCAATGTAGGGTAAACAGGTGTAAAAGTGGTGAAAATTAATCCTGAAATGAAGGATGTAATTGTATGCATAGATGTAATCATGAAGAAGAATTGTGTTAAGAGTGTTATTACCCCAAGCTGAAAAGGAAATGACAAAACAACACCTTTTCCTCATGTAAAAAGCTTGATTTCTGGTTGATGTATTGGCTGTGTGAGAACACTGGTTGTCCCCGAGGAGAGGGAGGTGTTCTGCATGTGTGTGTGTGTGTGTGTGTGTGTGTGTGTGTGTGTGTGTGTGTGTGTGTTGGAACGGAGAATAAGCGTGGTAGGCCTGAAGGTAAAATAATAACTGCTAATTGGCCCGAGGCTTTAGTTTCTCCCTCTCCTGTTACCACAGGACACGCAGATTAAACCTGCAGAAGAGTCCTGTTAACACCAGTGGAAGTCTACGCGTTTCAACAAAAGCGACAAAACGCGGAGGATCACACCACAAAGAAGAAGAAGACCCCCCCCCCGAGAGTCAGCACAGGAAAGAAGCAAGGCAGAAGCAGAGGAGGAAGTACGAGAAGACAAGGAAGAAATCCCTTTTCCACCTTTTCACCCAGCACTGAGCACGTGCGACCTCACCTGCTCGGCTGATCGGCCGCTTGCCGCCGCTCGGTTGCGTCCGGCTCTGGCGTGGTGCCGGGCTCTGAGCCGGGTGGCTCTGTCGCCGAAATGGTTGCGAGGGGAGAGAGGGCAGAGAACGCTACATGGAAGCTACTGCTTTCAGGAATTAGAGAAGGAGCAAATGTGTTAGGGAAAGGGAAGACAGGGTCTAGCTGAGCGAAGGAGGATTCCTGTATTGCGCAGGGATCGCTCCCGAAAGAGGACGGGAGAAGTTGGTCAAAGGCAGGTGCTAGGGTGCCCTCGGAAAGAGAGCGCTGCAGCGCGGCATGCTGCCCCTGTGGAGGCTGTAAGAAGATGTCATCCTGATTTCCCTCCCCTATATCACTGTGGATCTTTGGAGTAGAGCTGTTGTCTGGAGGAGGAGCAGGCAGAACCTGCAATCCATCGCCCCCTGTGAGGCTTGTCTCCAGGTTCACCAAGTTACCTTGATCCCCCTGGAGGAAGTCTCCAAATATTTCATTGTGGTTGACCTCAATGTTTGATGACTGGGATAGATTTGTATGACCCATTGTCAAAAGATCATCAGGGACGGCCTGAATGTCGCTCATCTCGCCACGGAGAGTTGAGTTAGCCGAGAATAGCGTTTCATTCAGCTCTGACCCGTTGGAGAATGAGTGAGAATCACAGGTTAGGTAGTCCTGCGAGTCAGCGCTGAAATAATGGCTCTGGCGTGACGTGCTGCTACTCTGTTCAGGCGTCTGTATGTTCAACCAAGCGCTGTCAAAGTCCTGACCAGGACTGCTTGCAAGGTGACTGACACTGAGGTATTCATCAAAAATCCCAAATTCCACATGAGAATAAGGGCGAACTTTCTGCTCCTCTGAACCAGTGTTCTCATTGGTCACATCCAACAAATCCTGCTTGACCTCGGGGGAAGAGATTATGACAGGTACCGATGGTAGTGTGGAAGAGAATTCATCATCTGAAGAAGCAGGCATCAATTCTTCTGTGGCACTGTTCTTAGAACGAGCGTTAAAATCCTCCGAAGGAGCAATCAAGCAATCATTGCTTGATTGCTGAGACACAACAGACGTCGGCTGTAGTGTCGGCAACAGATCAGGGTTCAGATCAGGAGTTTTAGGTGTTTGACTACCTCCAGGTTCACTTTCTGCTTCCTTTTCCGATGTCGTTAGAGAAAAAGGCTGAAACGAGTCCTCAAAAAAGTTCCAACCAACCATTTCAACATGACTATCCTTTGGTTGATCGACAGTTTTATGTGAATCATCAATCAAAAACTGATCAATGGACTTGTCAGCGATGGCGTTTCCAGACTCTGAGGTCTTTACGGTTTTTACAGCAGTCGAGTCGGAGGAATTCTTGAAGCGAAGGACGGTGCTTTCCGCTTCCTCAGAGGACGACACAGAGAATTTCTCAGATTGAGATGAAAAACAGGAGAGCCCGTCTTCTTCAGTCGAACTGCCGATGCCCGACGAGCTGGGGTCTGGAGAGCTGCTGCTGTTGTTGTTGTTGAGTTGTGCAGATGAGGTGTGAAAGGGAGCAGTATTGATATTAGTGTGCGTAAAATCATTAGTAGTGTTGCTGTCCCGTTCGGTCACAATGAAGTCAGTCGGTTCAGGGGAGTTAGTAGGAGTGTTTAACGTCGAGTCATCGCTGTCAAAGCTTCTGTGTTCTGGGATCGTTTCAAGGAATTGTGGAAAGTGGTCGAAGTGAAGTGCGTTGTTGTTCCTCATCTGGATAGGAACTGAAAGTTCACTGGATAAAAATCTGCCCCCAGGCTGATCATAGAGAACGTCATTAACATTTGTTTGCTCGTTTGCATCTGCGACTCTTTGTAATTCACCTTTACTGCGGTCGTGTTCCAGTGGATGGTCATCGACTGTGTTTTGTTGTGTTCTGCTTTCCATGGCGAGCTCCTCGGGAGACTTCAGTCTGCCAGCTGCAAACGCCTCAAATGACTCGTTCCACTCCGAGTCCAGGTTACGCTCCTCAGCAGACAGAAAGGGGTTTGACGACTTCTTGATTAAAGGTTCTTTATTTGCTAAGGGAACTGGAGGGAGAGGTCTTTCAACAGGTTGGTCTTTGGCATCAGCCGAGTCCTCTACTGTCGGGTCGTCTTGCATCAAGTCAGGATTACTTGACTGTGGAAAGAGGTCAGTTATTGGGGGCCGGGAGCTGGAAAGATAAGGCAAAGGAGGCAGCGGTGACTTCAGTGTCTGGTTAGTTAACATATCTGTAAAGAAGGGGTTGTGCTGTAAGCGGGAGTAGAAAGGGTTGCACTGGAATATGGGAGGCGGTGCGGTCTGTGAACGGGAAAAGGGGTTAGTGTGGTGCAGTGCGGAAACCAAAGAGGTAGGATCAACGGGGAAACCCGGGGGGTGGTGACTAAGTGGAAGAGGTGGTGGGTGGGGGTCAGTGCTTGGCTCTAACTTAGTGGAGACCACCAGGCTGTGAAAAGAAGGACACACAGTCCCCTCAATTAGTCAGGCTTGTTCACATTGCTCAACGTAAGCTTGCAAAAAGCATTTGGCTCAAGTCACAATTTAAAGGCATACTATGCAGAGTCTGACCCATTGGCAAAAACCAGATTGTCTATTAGAGGATAAAAGATGTTATTTCACTGGTTTACCTTAGATCTGATGGTTTGTTCTGAAATCGATTTCATTAAATAAATAAATAAAAACAAAGCAAGCTGCCATAGTGCCGCATTCAAAGACAATAGAAACTCAGTGGATGATGTAAAATGTTTCTCTAAAAAAGAAAACTACAAAAGTGGACACACTGTAGAGCTCCTTAAAAGCTACTCTTAACCTTTGAACTATTTCATGCCCCAACCAGAAACTCTAACACTTTTCATTGAGATTATATCAGACAGGCTAATATAATCTAGTTATAGATGAAGTGGAATGAAAATGACAGTTTTCACACAAAAAAATTATAAAAATCTAAAATGAACTTGTAAATACAGTAAAAATAGTCCACCTTTGTGCCATTTAGTCTTAGTATACAACACATCCAGTTGTTCTGTGAAGGCCTTAGTGGTTTATTAAAGTGCACAAACTGCATCAAGAAGAAAAAAGTAAGAATGCAGTTGTGAATAAGCAGGATTATGTCATGAAATCAATCGACATGGTCGTCCATCTGAAGCGTCAGGAGACGGGAACCTCTCAAAATAATTCAAAAATTTCTATTCGTATTTTATTAAAATCAAGAAATATTTGTGCCCTTCTTAGTAATAAGTGGAATTAATAAAAAAACAAATGGAGCAAACCTTTTCCTATCACCACATTTCTCCACCCTGTTTGGAGAACCAAGACTCCAAACATAACACCACAGTTTCAATGACATGATTGAGATCAAGGTATTTTTATGCACTAAAATGGTCCAGTCAAAGTTCAGACTCAAATTGAATTGATGATTTGTGGCAGCAGTTTACTGAATGCGACTGAGTTTGAATTGTCTCTAAAACAGAGACATATTCAAAAAGACTTGAAGGCGTTATTTTAGTAAAAGGTGGTTTTATAAAGTATTACTACAATGAGGCCAAAATATAAATGCAGGCCACACTAGTCAGATTTTAAATTGTTAAAATTTTTAAAAACAACATGTCTTATGGGTTTTTTTTCCCTACATTGTATTAGATTACATCACATGAAATCCCAATAGATTTCACAAAAGTTTCTAGTTGTAAGAAAATAAAATGTAAATTTAATCAAGGGTGTGAATACTTTTTCCAAACACTTAAAATATTACGGCTAACAAAATAGGCTGTAAAGATAAAATCATTTCTGCACCACGGACAGTGAACTTCATGACCTCTGAGCCGCATCAATATTCTTATTTACAGTGTAAATGAAACCAGAGAAAAACAATCTGTGTTTCATGCCAACACTGTTAACCTCTGAAATTCCTAGAATGGCTCAGAGATAAAAACCGCTTGTTTTTTTTAAAATGTCATTTATCCCCATTTTAAGAAATTCTTCAGTTTTTGGTTCATTGAATGCAGCATTAGGTGGCAGCAAAGCAGAGAAAAAGCCATGTGTAAAATCATAGTTGATATTCTGCATGGTATGCCTTTACATATTCATTTGTTTTTGTTTTTTACAGAGTTGTTTGCAACATATATTGCTTATAGAAAGAAAAATAAAATCACATTTGATCAAATAATGATTAATAAAAACCATCTAAAATCTTGATAATTTCTTTTTATAAATATAAAACCACCAACTAATACCTCGTTAGAGCAAAACATTACTAAACTTTGTCATATATGTCTATACTAAACTATAGTAAACATATGAAAAGCTTTTAGCTCTTTAACCAACAAACGCTACATAATTTTTTTTTTTTTTTTGGCTAGCTGTTATCATTAGCCATCTGTCACTTGTTGCTCAGCAGTCATGCATAAAGCTGATTTATCAGGTATATTTTTCAACAAAAATAAATGGCAGCTGCCATTATACACAGAGGAGAATTTTAATTTTTTTTTTTCACAAATGTAACAAGAAAATAATCTCTTCTTTACATTTTAGCGGCAGCAGAAGCACAAAAGCAAACAGGACAGCGCGGTCGATTAGCAGCAGACACAAGAGGCTTATGGAATAAGATCAGCTTGTGAACTAAATGTTTTTTTTTCCTTCATCCTAAACCTCACAAAGTAATTGCAAAAATGTATTCAGCTACAAAACAGTTTGCATCGCTGTTAAATTCACAGTGAGTAAAAAACACATCAAAAAGGCGTAAATATGTTGGACTCCAGCTCATGTTTAACTTTTCAATCTGTTCCTTTCATTAAAGCTTGAGGTTGTAGTATAACAAAACAGACAAAAAGTGAGCGGGTATAAAAAGTTTTTCTAGGGTTAGATGAGAGTTATCTGAATAAAAGACCAACAGAACGAATGAAAAGCTTCAGTGCTGATGCATTTCATCACATTACAGTGGTACAAAACACCACAAATGATAAAACGACCCACTTAACAGTGTGACCGGCGGAAAGGTCCACATCTCGGCCCTTTTTCTGGCTGCTCACACAAGAGTGACCGACCTGCACACACACGCGCCGGGATAAAAACGAGAGCAACGATATTATCTCCAGATCACGTTTCCAAAGAAACGGACCGTTTATTCCATTGCGGCGTTATGCTCCACACACGGTTAGGGTTATAAAAGCAGCTCCACTCCTCCATCTGCATTGCAGACTTCTCATGTAACCAGAGACTTGGAGCAGCAGGGACGTGTTCAGAGCCGGAGGCTCATCTGTAATGCTGGAACGGAGCGCTGCGCTCATTTTGTTTTCACATCAGGTGTTTGTCCCACTTCTATCTGGGGAAACCATTTACGCAGCGATGTATGTCACTGGGATTTAATGTGAGAGAGCAACACAAAGCACCAGGAGATTGGCGAATGGCTCATTAACTCTGCTGTAAATAAGAAATCTGAAAAGTGTGGTGTGCTTCCCCCCCTCCCCAGGATTGGTCCATTTTAAGCTTCACCCATCTTCAACTCAACTGTGGGCAGCTTCCCTGTCTCTGCTGAAGTAAACCATGCCCACAGCATAATGCTGCCACACCACCTTTTGTGCATAAGCTAGTAAGTAAAGTGAGTAAAGTTTTATTTCTGTAAAACCTTTCACAGACGTATGAATCATCACTTTTGAGTCCATTTGTACTACTGATATCCCTTTAAATTTCTCCTCATCGACAAATAAAGTTATTAAAATTGAACTAAGTTGAGTTTAGATCACAAAGTGATTCAAAAATTTAAAACAATAAAAAAATTTAGTTTCTTTAAAGACAGATGAAAGAAGCTGCTTGTGTTCAGCTTTATATAGGTTTGTCAGAGTAAATGTGATGAGATACAGTTGCACTCCACACATTTCAGATGCTAGTTTGTCAAATACTTCAAACTCCATTTCCAACTTCGTTTTCCTTCCACTTCATAGTTATGCTCTTCTTTTCATCAATCCGTCACGAAAAATCCCACGTAGATACTTAAAACGGGAAGAAAAAGTGGTGTTCACACTTTCCCTCACACTAAATATAGCACAACCACAAAGCAGAGTGGTGCTGAAAGGCTACTCCAGCTGGTTGGAGAACAGGTTCAGCATTCTTCCACAGGGTTAGGAATGTAGGTGTCTGCATTCAGCAGATCAGGTAATTAGTCCGACACAAAGAAAACAGGTCTGACAAGTCCTGCTCTGTCAAAAGGCCACTGAACGCACTGATGGACTTGTTTAGTATGAAAGCAAACAAACTGAAGTTTATGTGGGTTTTCTTGCAGGTTTGGAAGAACCGAGTCACATTAAAGTTGAGGTAAAGTTACAGGTTAGAGGAATAAATCAGTTTATTAAAAATAAAAAGATATTAAGTCAAGTATGCAGCTTCGATATATGTGTTCTACCTTCTAATTTTTCTATTTTAATGACTTATGACTTGAATTGTTTTAATTTCAGCCGCCACAAAATGAAACAATCATCTCTCACATTAGTAACTTTTTTTTTTTTTGTTGTAATATGTAAGAGAATGAATCTTTTTTTTTTATGTTAAAGCCAAAAGTTGTTGACCTAAATTTAAAACCTCATTACATCCAAAAACCAGAATTCCACGAATTTATTTTTTGAAGCTGAAGACGTTCTGACATGTGGTGTGTCGGCTGCGTGTCTCACCTGGGTTTGTTGTGCGAGTCCTTGGATCCGAACCACGCTCTGTGTTTCTCCTCGGTGGCGGCGGCGCTTTGCTCAGACTCGCCCTTGGACTGGCTCTGACCCTTCCCCGCAGACTCACTCCGCCCATGAGAGAACAAGTTCCTCCTCTGCTTTTTCACCTGACTCTCCAGCTCCGCCTGGGAGGCATCTGGCAGTGGTGGTGGTGCCGGCCGCTCCTCCTCTCCAGCTCCGCTTTGACCCAGGGCCGCCGCGATGGCCGCCCTCTCCTCCTCACCGGCCCTGTCGAAGGACCAGCGCCGGCCGTCCCCCGCGGGGCCCTTGGGCAGGTCGGCGGTGGGCCGCGTGCTGAGGTTCTGCAGGGAAACGGAGTGGGCCACGGACCGCTGCAGCAGCAGTCCTGGCCCTAAAGAACCTGACGGTTTTCCTGAGCCTCGATCCTGGGCCTGGACTTTGGACACATGGCTTCCGTTTACACAAACGATCGGGGGAGGCACTGCGATGGTGATTTCGCCGGCCTCGTCGCCGAACTCGCATCTGAGAGAGGACGACTTGGGCGAAGTGTTTGCTGTGTGTTCTGTGACGAGAGAGGGCAGAAAGGAAGAGGACTGAAGAGAGAAATGCAGGAAAATGGTACAGAGAGTCGGCCATCTTTCTTTTTTGCTGAAACAATCAGCAGCTTTATAGTAATAAATACAAAATGCTTCTCAAGAGGACACTGAGCATTTCTTTAGCTGGCTAACTCAAGCCAAGCCTCCAACAATAACATAACTACAGATGTACACAGCAGTGGCGACCCCAAGAGGGGGGCATGGGAGGCCATGGGCCCCTCTTGAAAAATGTTGGATAAAGAATCATGTTTAGATCAGACAAAGAGCAGTCATCTTCTTCAATCAAGACATAAATATAAAACACAAACAATAAATAAATAAATTTATATTATATATATATATATATATATAATACTACATTTTAGAAAATCTACCAAAATTGCTGAAGTAAAATGCATCAATGTCAGGCTAGTAGGTTTGATTCAGAGTTTATCCTTTACTTGTGAAGGATAACCATGTGAAAATGGTTGGACACTCGTCACTAAGTAATAACGATAAATCGTCTCCCTGCCGGACTCACCTGGACTGTTGTCTGCGGTGAAGTTGCTGCTGTTGCTGGGGGAGTTGGACAGGTCAGACACCACCACGCTGATGCCAGCTGTCGGACTCAGGCTGCCGCCGCGCGACGAAGACTCACTGCTCTCGGAGCCCAGGGAGGTGCTGGAGCGAGTGTCAGACGACTTCCGCAGCTTCCCCCGCAGAAAGAAGGTCCTCATCTTGCTCCGCCGGACCTCCCCGCCCTCGTCGTCCTCATAGTCTTCCTCCCCTCCTCCGTCACTCGGCAGTCTCTGGCGCATGCGGTACAGGGAGCTGTACCCACCCGGCACCACGGCGGAGGACGACTCCTCATCGCTGGGCCTCCTCTTGCCCTTCATGCGCTCCTTGAGTTTGCTGAAGGTGGAGGCGCCCTTGTCTTTCATGACCAGGTCGTACATGCTGGCCGTCAGGTTGTTTCGGGTGAACAAGATGGTGACCTGAATGTCCCCCCTCTCCTTCTCCTTCTTCCCCGTCTTGGAGTTGAGTCTATACCACCTGCAACAAAAGTTGAATCACATGAGATCCGACGACACGCTGTTTTCATGAATTACAAAGACAGATCAAGAGTCTCACAGGAAGGTTTTTTTTTTTTTAAAAAGATTCTAAGATGTTATAATGTCTTTCTTGCAGATAACATATTAATTTGGCATAAATATAGATTAATTAGGCTTTAGATAGAGGCTCGTCCAAGATGGATGAAGACCAGAGCAGAACTCTACCATTAAAAAAACCCAAAACAAACGTGGATGTCAAAAACATTTTACAGTAAACCATTAAACCACCACATTTGCATTTAGCAGTTGTTCACAGAGAAGTTGAAGATTATTTACACAGGAAATGAACACTGGAGGTGGTGCGTTGCCAATGATCTTTCTGTGTGAAACATACAGTAAATTAAAGTAAAACTAAATATTTTAAAAGTGTCAGAGCAACTACCTCCTCAAAAAGTAAGGCAGCGTAAAAATTAAATTAGCGTTAAATTAAACTGCCACAATATTTTTTGCTTTTTAAATATTTTTATTTCTCAGTTTCACACAAGAACATTATTGGTGTTCTGACTACATTATAGTTAAACTTGATAGTCTAACCATTAGCTTAGGCCTTTTGAAATAACTATTATTGATTTTTACCAAGTTAAGATGCCAAGAGACGTATCTATGGTAACCGTTATAATCTTCCTATATACATAAGCCAATTGAGCATATTTTCCAAACCTAACTCAGAACTTTAACCAAAAGTTTGTTGATAGGTGTAACTTCAGTCTAAATGTAGAATTATGAAACCTCTTTAAATCTTAAAGGGAAACATAAATCTGCAGCGCTAGACATCCATCAAAAATTTTATTTCTATGAAACATTGGAACCATTTGGGTTGGTGGCCGACTTGGCAATCCTTTTTGAACCTGTTCTACCCAGCAGCTTTGGTGCTCATCCACAGAAAATCCTAGTAATCTCCTCTGTTTTGACACTCGTCAGTAGGACATGTTCAATGCGTGCTAAACACTGGACTAGCTCTGTTGACCAGCACTGGCTTTGGGAGACAATCTGCTAAGCTACCAGAAATGTGTTCCTGTTCAGAAAGTAGAGAAACATGAAGTAAGTGTGACAATTATTAACCCCCCACATTAAACTGGCCTGATATCATCATCTTCAAGTTGCTAGGACTGATTTGTGCAGCATGAAAAGAAGCCAAAACTTTATCATTAGCTTCCTGCTAGAATACTTTCAGGCTAACTTATCGAGGAATCAGATTTGGACTTATGAACCTGCAACATTTTTGTTTGCCATACAAAACATCTCAATATGTCACTTGTTGTCACTCAGGACTTTAGTAATCTACAAAACCTTTTCAAACGCAGACAATGAGGACAGCCCCCCCCCCCCCCCCCCCTCCGCCCCCACCTCCACCCTCACATTTAGTTACTTCCTTGACTCAT